AAGGGGCAATGACGTCACGATGCAGGGGGCGGGACGCAGTGATGTCATCACAGAGGGGACGCGTTGCGGTGACGTCACACCCAGGAACAATGATGTCATCAAGGAGGGGACACATTGCAGTGACATCATGTGGAAGGGACGGATGACATCATAATGGAGGGGACGCAACACGGTGACGTCACACATGAGAACAGTGATGTCGTCGCATCACATTGACGTCACACGCGGGAACAATGACGTCATCACAGAGGGGATGCGTTGCTGTGACGTCACACGGAAGAGATGACATCACGACGGAGGGGACTTGTAAGAATGATGTCACACAGGCACAATGACATCACAGTGACATCACGCAGGGGAACAATGACGTCATCACAGAGTGGACATGGCGGTGACGTCACGGAAAACGGACACGCCGCAGTGACGTCACACTGAAGGGACAGATGACGTCACGACGTCACGGTGACGTCACATGGACAGGACGGATGACGTCAGAACAGAGGGGACACGTCACGGTGACGTCACACAGAGACACGGTGACGTCATCACATGAGGACACGGAGGGGACACGTCACACGGTGACGTCATCACAGAGGGGACACATGACGTGATGATGTCACACGGGGGCACAGTGACATCATCACAAAGGGGACACGTGATGCGATGACATCATCACAGGGGGCGGTGACGTCATGACAGGTGGGACACGTGACACGATGACGTCACACAGGGGCGCGATGACGTCACGGCGGCGGGAGGGGGAGGGGACGCGGGATCGGGGCTGGTTTGGGGATTTTAATGATTCTGTACAATAAAGGCGACCCCGGGAACCGGCACGGCCAAACTGGGAGGGACTGGGAGGGACTGGGATTATACTGGGATGGGCTGGGGGGGACTGGGAGGGACTGGGGGGGACTGGGAATGGGAACTGGGATTATACTGGGATGGGCTGGGGGGGACTGGGAGGGACTGGGGGGGACTGGGAATGGGAACTGGGATTATACTGGGATGGACTGGGGGGGACTGGGAGGGACTGGGGGGGACTGGGAATGGGAACTGGGATTATACTGGGATGGACTGGGGGGGACTGGGAGGGACTGGGGGGGACTGGGGGATACTGGGAGGGGAATGGGGACAATGGGGTGATACTGGGAGGGCACTGGAAGCACTGGGACGTAACTGGGAGGGACTGGGGGACACTGGGATTATACTGGGATGGGCTGGGGGATACTGGGAGGGACTGGGAGGGGAATGGGGACAATGGGGTGACACTGGGAGGGCACTGGAAGCACTGGGAGGTAACTGGGAGGGACTGGAGGACACTGGGGTGGCACTGGGATGGTACTGGGGGGTAACTGGGAGGGACAGTGGGGACACTGGGGGTGACTGGGAGGGACTGGGGGGTAACTGGGGACACTGGGATGGTACTGGGGATACTGGGAGGAGGAATGGCGAACACTGGAGTGATACTGGGAGCACTGGGAGGGACTGGAGGACACTGGGGGGGACACTGGGATGGCACTGGGTGATACTGGGGATACTGGGAGGGACAATGGGGATACTGGGGGGTAACTGGGAGGGACTGGGGGACACTGTGGGGGACACTGGGAGGGACTGGGGGGGACTGGGTGATACTGGGGGGGGACTGGGAGGGACTGGAGGACACTGGGGTGATACTGGGATGGTACTGGGGGGTAACTGGGAGGGACAGTGGGGACACTGGGGGGTGACTGGGAGGGACTGGGGGACACTGTGGGGGACACTGGGAGGGAATTGGGGACACTGGGGGGGATACTGGGAGGGACTGGGGGTGAGCAATGGGGACAGTGGGTGATACTGGGATGGTACTGGGGACACTGGGAGGGACTGGGAGGGAACTGGGACACTGGGGTGGCACTGGGTGATACTGGGGGGTAACTGGGAGGGACTGGGGGACACTGGGGGGCACTGGGGTGGCACTGGGATTATACTGGGTTGATACTGGGAGGGACTGGGAGGGACAATGGGGATACTGGGGTGACACTGGGAGGGAACTGGGGAGCACTGGGACGTAACTGGGAGGGACAATGGGGACACTGGGGTGATACTGGGATGGTACTGGGGATACTGGGAGGGACTGGGAGGGAACTGGGGACACTGGGGGCACTGGGGTGGCACTGGGTGATACTGGGGGGTAACTGGAGGGAACTGGGGGCACTGGGGGGCACTGGGATTACACTGGGATGGTACTGGGGGATAACTGGGAGGGACTGGGAGGGGTATTGGGGACACTGGGGGGGCACTGGGATCACTGGGGACACTGGGACGGGCCCTGGGGACATTCTGGGGACACTTTGGGGACATTGGGGCCCTGCAGGGGTGGCTCAGGCCACTGGGACAGGACCTGGGACATTTTGTGACACTCTGGGGACATTTTGGGGACATTGGGGGCACTGGGAGAGGACCTGGGGACATTTTGGGGACATTTTGTGACACTTTGGGGACATTGGGAGCACTGGGACAGGCCCTGGGGACATTTGGTGACACTTTGGGGACATTGGGGCCCTGCAGGGGTGGCCCAGGCCGGGCAGGGCTGGGTGGGGGAGGGGCTGATAAGGCTTATCAGGAACCCCCAGCTGGGACAGGGTGGGGACAGCTGGCACCGTGTCACCAATGTCACCAGTGTGTCCCCAGGGACAGGGACAGGACACCTGGCACCGTGTCACCAATGTCACCAATGTCACCAGAGCCCTATGGGGGACAGGGACAGGGAGAGGACACCTGGCACCGTGTCACCTCCTGCCACCTCTGTGTCACCAATGTCACCAGGGCCCTGTGGGGGACAGGGACAGGGACAGCTGGCACCGTGTCACCACTGTGTCACCAATGTGTCACCAATGTCACCAATGTCACCAGTGTGTCACCAGAGACAGGGACACAGGGACAGGGACAGGACACCTGGCACCGTGACACCAGTGTGTCACCAATGTCACCAGAGCCCTATGGGGGACAGGGACAGGGACACCTGGCACTGTGTCACCACTGTGTCACCAATGTCACCAGTGTGTCCCCAGGGACAGGGAGAGGACACCTGGCACCGTGTCACCAATGTCACCAATGTCACCAGTGTGTCCCCAGGGACAGGGACAGGACACCTGGCACCGTGTCACCAATGTCACCAATGTCACCAGTGTGTCACCAATGTCACCAATGTCACCAGAGCCCTATGGGGGACAGGGACAGGGACACCTGGCACCGTGTCACCACTGTGTCACCACTGTGTCACCAATGTCACCAGGGCCCTGTGGGGGACAGGGACAGGGACAGCTGGCACCGTGTCACCACTGTGTCACCAATGTCACCAATGTCACCAGTGTGTCACCAGAGACAGGGACACAGGGACAGGGACAGGACACCTGGCACCGTGACACCAGTGTGTCACCAATGTCACCAGAGCCCTATGGGGGACAGGGACAGGGACACCTGGCACCGTGTCACCTCCTGCCACCTCTGTGTCACCACTGTGTCCCCTGGGCCCAGCAAGGGACAGGGACAGGGGACACCTGGCACCGTGTCACATCTGTGACACGTGTGTGTCACCTCCCTGGCACCGTCTGTGTCCCCAGGGCCTGGCAGGGACAGGGACAGGGAGGGGACACTGAGGCCGTGTCATCCGTCAGGTCCTTGTCACCAGTGACGGGGAGGGGACACAGGGAGGGGACACCGAGTCCCTGTCACACCCTGGGTCCGTGTCACCAGTGACAGGGAGGGGACATCAGGGTGCCACCAGTGACGGGGAGGGGACACTGAGTCCGTGCCATCCACTGGGTCCTTGTCATCAGTGACAGGGAGGGGACATCAGGGACCTGACACCAGTGACGGGGAGGGGACATATTGAGCTCGTGCCACCCGTCAGGTCCTTGTCACCAGTGACGGGGAGGGGACATCAGAACTGTGTCACCAGTGACGGGGAGGGGACAGGGAGGGGACACCGAGTCCCTGTCACACCCTGGGTCCGTGTCACCAGTGACAGGGAGGGGACATCAGGGACCTGACACCAGTGACGGGGAGGGGACATTGAGCTCGTGCCACCCGTCAGGTCCTTGTCACCAGTGACGGGGAGGGGACATCAGAACTGTGTCACCAGTGACGGGGAGGGGACAGGGAGGGGACACCGAGTCCCTGTCACACACTGGGTCCGTGTCACCAGTGACAGAGAGGTGACATCAGGATGCCACCAATGACGGGGAGGGGACACTGAGTCCGTGCCATCCACTGGGTCCTTGTCATCAGTGACAGGGAGGGGACATCAGAACATGTCACCAGTGACGGGGAGGGGACACAGGGAGGGGACACCAAGTCCCTGTCACACACTGGGTCTGTGTCACCAGTGACAGGGAGGGGACACAGGGAGGGGACACAGGGAGGGGACACCAAGTCCCTGTCACACCCTGGGTCCGTGTCACCAGTGACAGGGAGGGGACATCAGGGACCTGACACCAGTGACGGGGAGGGGACACCGAGTCCGTGCCACCCACTGGGTCCTTGTCACCAGGGACAGGGAGGGGACACTGAGGTCATTGCCACTCATGGTGGGGGTCACATCGAGTCTTTATCGCTGGGGGGGTGACATTGGGTCCGTGTCACCCATGTGGGTGGCTGTGTCACCAATGGAGGGGTGACATTGGGTCCGTGTCACTCCTGGGGTGGCCGTGTCACCACCCATCGGGTCCTTGTCACCAATGGAGGGGTGACATCGCATCCTTGTCACTGAGGGTGTGCCAGCGGGTCCGTGTCTCCACCAGGGTCCGTGTCACCAATGGAGGGGTGACATCGAGTCCTTGTCACCAATGGAGGGGTGACACTGCATCCTTGTCACCGAGGAGGTGCCATCGAGTCCGTGTCACCTCCAGGTGTGGCCGTGTCACCCATCGGGTCCTTGTCACCAATGGAAAGGATGTCACCACATCCTTGTCACTGAGGGGGTGCCATCGGCTCCGTGTCCCCCCGAGGTGGCCGTGTCACATCCACTCCTCCTCGCCGCCGCTGTCCCCATCGTTGTCCCCATCGCTGTCCCCATCGCTGTCCCCAGGGCTGTCCCAATCGCTGTCACCCTCTCTGTCCCAATCGCTGTCCCCATCCCTGTCGCTGTCACCGTCCCCGCTGTCCCCGAGGCGCAGCCGCCACCTCCGTGTGGCATTGCCGGGGCACCGCAGCGTCACCCGCACGTGGCGGCGCCGTCTGTCCCCTCCGGTGTCCCCTCCCGTGTCCCCTCCCGTGTCCCCTCCGGTGTCCCCCGCGGTGTCGGGGCTGAGGTGGCACCGCGCGGGGAAGAAGCGCAGCAGCGGCCCCAGCACGCGCGGCCCGGGCGGGGGCAGCCGCAGCGCCGCCACCACCTGCGCGGGGACACCGCGGGGACACCGGGGACACCGCGGGGGGGCGCGCGCCAGCTCCAGCAGCAGCGCCGCCAGCCGCGAGGGGACGGCCGGGGACACCGAGGGGACGCGCGGGGACGGGCACAGGTAGCGCTCCAGCCCGTCCAGCAGCAGCAGGGAGGGAGGAGGGGACGGCGACAGCGACAGCGACAGCAGCTCGCGACACAGCGACAGCCGAGAGCGGGGGTAGCGCAGCTGCAGGCGCTGCCGGGGACACGGACGGACGGACGGACGGACAGGGGGACAGGGGACAGACGGGGGGGGGGACGAAGGGGACAACGGGGGTAGGGGAGAGGGGACAGATGGGACAGGGGGACAGAGGGACGATGGGGATAATGGCGACAGGGGGACAGGGGACAGACGGACAGGGGGACAGGAGAGAGGGGACAGAGGGACGGAAACAGGGGACAGAGGGACACGGGGATGGAGGGATGGGGGGCAGAGGGACAGGAGGACAAAGGGGACAGAGGGGATAAAGAAGATGGAGGGACAGAGGGACAGAGGGACAGGGGACAGAGGGACAGACAGACAGATGGACAGAGGGGATAAGAGAGACGGAGGGACAGAGGGACAGAGGGACAGACGGACATGAGACAGGGGATAGGGGCAGGGACAGGGGATAGGGGAGAGGGGGACAGGGGACAGAGGGACAAGAGGACAGGGGGACAAAAGGGACAGGGATAGGGGAGAGGGGGGACAGGGGACAGAGGAGAGGGGACAGAGGGACAGAGGGACAGGGGGACAGAGGGACAGGGGGACAGAGGGACAAGAGTCAGACCAGATCCCCAAATCCTTTCACACCCCCCATGAACGGCGAATCCCCAAACCCCGCCCACATGCACAGCCCCGCCCACAAAAGGACAAAACCACGCCCCTTTCAGGTCACACCCCTTCGTTAATATATTCACCCCCAAAGCCACACCCACACGAACACGGACCCGCCTCCATAACAAGCCCCGCCCCCATTACAAACCCCGCCCCCTCCTTCCTCCCCCTCGGCAAGCCCCGCCCCTCCCGGCCATCCCCGCCTCCCCCTCAGCGATCCCCGCCCGGTTCCCGTCCCCGTTTCCGTTCCCCGCTCACCTGCAGCGCCCTCGGGTCGGTGCCGGGCCCGCCGGGCCCTCCCGGGAGCCGCGGGACGGCGCTGGGCGCCAGGAACAGCGCTCGGGGCCCGTCGGCGCCGCCCGCCAGCGCCGCCCGCAGCAGCAGCGAGGTGCGGCCCGAGCCCGCCGGGCCCAGCACCAGCACCGGCACCGGCGGCAGCGCCGCCTCCGAGCCTCGCCCGGGCGCTGCCGGGCCCAGCGCCCGCTCCAGAGCCGCCGCCATGCCCAGCAGCGGGACCGCCACCACCGCCGCCGCGCAGCCAATCAGCTACGCGCACCGGCAGCGCTCAGCCAATCACGGGGCGGCTCACCGCAGCTCGACCAATCAGAGTAGTGCTGCCCTCAGAGGTGGTCCCGCCCGCCGCAGTGAGCGGGAGTCTCTCGGCCAATCGGAGCAGAGCTCCCCTCAGCGCCTTTCCCGCCGTGGCGGCTCAGCCAATCAGAGCGCGGGTTGCCCTCAGCGGTGTTCCCGCCCTCAGACAGTGAGGGGGCGTGGCCACGCGCTTAATGAGATGCGTGGCACCGCCCCTCTGGGTTAAAAGGGGCGGGGCGAGCGCGGGGACACGCCCACCCTCCGCTGTCACACGGGGGGACACCAAGGGTCACAGAAAGGTCACAGAAAGGTCACCAAGGGTCATTTACGGTCACCATTGTCACACGTGTCACATGAGGGTCCCCAAAGGTCACATGACGGTCACAGGTGTCACTAAAGGTCACCTAAGGGTCACCAGAGGGTCCCCAAAGGTCACACAAAGGTCCCCAAATGTCCCCAAAGGTCACAGGAGGGTCACGTGTGTCACCAAATGTCACCTGAGGGTCTCCACCGGTGACACAGGGGTCCCCAAAGGTCCCAGGGGACCCTGGCCACAGCAATGGTCACAGAAATGTCCCCGAAGGCCACATGAAGGTCCCCAAAGGTCACGGAAATGTCCCCAAAGGTCACACAGAGATCCTCAAAGGCCACCCGAGTGTCCCCAAGTCACACAAAGGTCCCCAAAAGCCACCTGAGTGTCCCCAAGTCACACAAGTGTCCCCAAAGGCCACACAAAGGTCCCCAAAGGCCACCCAAGGCTCTCCTGAGTGTCCCCAAAGGTCACAGAACTGTCCCCAAAGCCACCTGAGCATCCCCAAGGGCCACCTGAGTGTCCCCAAAGGTCACACCAAGGTCCCCAAAGGCCACCCCAGTGTCCCCAAGTCACATGAGGGTCCCCAAAGCCACCTGAGTGTCTCCAAGTCACTCCAGGGTCCCCAAGGGTCACACCAAGGTCCCCAAAGGCCACCTGAGTGTCCCCAAGGGCCAACCAGGTGTCCCCAAAGGCCACCTGAGTGTCCCAAAAGTCACTCCAGGGTCCCCAAAGGCCACCCAAGGCTCTCCTGAGCGTCCCCAAGGGCCACCGGAGGGTCCCCAAAGCCACCTGAGTGTCCCCAAGTCACTCTAGGGTCCCCAAAAGTCACCCCAGGGTCCCCAAAGGTCACACCAAGGTCCCCAAAGGCCACCTGAGTGTCCCCAAAGGTCACAGAACTGTCCCCAAAGCCACCTGAGCATCCCCAAGGGCCACCTGAGGGTCCCCAAAGCCACCCGGGTGTCCCCAAAGCCACCTGGGTGTCCCCAAAGCCACCTGGGTGTCTCCAAGTCACTCTAGGGTCCCCAAGGGTCACACCAAGGTCCCCAAAAGTCACACAAGTGTCCCCAAAGGCCACCCCAATGTCCCCAAGTCACACGAGGGTCCTCAAAGCCACCTGAGCGTCCCCAAGGGCCACCGGAGGCTCTCCCGACTCTTCCCAGCCCTCCCCCAGTGTCCCCCAGTGTCCCCAAGTGTCCCCTGGGGGGTCCCTGGGTGTCCCTTATGGGGGTCCCTGGGGGGATCTCTGGTTGGGGAGGGGGTCCCAGGATGGGGAAGGGTCCCCGGGTCTCCCTTATGGGGGTCCCTGGGGGTCCCCAAGGTCCCTGAGTGTCCCCAGGTGTCCCCAGGGGGGTCCCAGGGGGTTCTGGACGGGGTCTCTGGGGGTCCCTGGGGGTCCCTTGTGGGGGTCCCTGGGGGTCCCCAAGGTCCCTGAGTGTCCCCAGGGGGGTCCCTGGGTGTCCCTTATGGGGGTCCCTGGGGGGGTCTCTGGTTGGGGAGGGGGTCCCAGGATGGGGAAGGGTCCCTGGGGGTCCCTTGGGGGGGTCCCTGGGGGTCCCTTATGGGGGTCCCTGGGTGTCCCCAAGGTCCCCGAGTGTCCCCAGGGGGGTCCCCGGGGGTCCCTGGGGGTCCCTTATGGGGGTCCCTGGGGGTCCCTTGGGGGGATCCCTGGGGAGGTCCCTGATTTGGGGAGGGGGTCCCAGGATGGGGAAGGGTCCCTGGGTGTCCCCAGGGGGGTCTCTGGGTGTCACTTATGGGGGTCCCTGGGTGTCCCAAGGTCCCCGAGTGTCCCCAAGTGTCCCCAGGGGGGTCCCGGGGGGGGGTTCTGGGGGGGGTCCCAGGGGGATGGGGCTGTTTGGGGGGCGGTCCCTGATTTGGGGAGGGGGTCCCGGGATGGGGAAGGGTCCCCGGGTCTCCCTTATGGGGGTCCCTGGGTGTCACTTATGGGGGTCCCTGGGGGTCCCCAAGGTTCCTGGATGTCCCCAAGTGTCCCCAGGGGGGTCCCCGGGGGTCCCTGGGTGGTCTCTGGGTGTTCCTTGTGGGGGTCCCTGGGTTTGGGGGGTTCCCTGGGGGTCTCTGGGTGTCCCTTATGGGGATCCCTGAGGGCGTCTCTGGTTGGGGAGGGGTCCCAGGATGGTGAAGGGTCCCTGGGGGTCCCTTGGGGGGGTCCCTGGGGGTCCCTTTTGGGGGGGTTTCTGGGGAGGGGTCTCTGGTTGGGGAGGGAGTCCCGGGATGGGGAAGGGTCCCCCTGGGTTTGGGGGGGTTCCCTGGGGGTCTCTGCGTGTCCCTTATGGGGGTCCCGGGTTTGGGGGGCTCCCTGGGGGTCTCTGGGGGTCCCTTGGGGTCTCCCCGCGGTTCCCGGTGTCCCTGGGGGATCCTCGGGGGGTCTCGGGATGGGGAGGGGTCCCTGGGTGTTATTTGGGGAGGGGTCCCTGATTTGGGGAGGGGTCCCTGGGTGGTCTCAGGGGTCTCCCCGCGGTTCCCGGGTGTCCCCGGGGGACCCTCGGGCCGTTCCCGAGTGTCCCCGAGTGTCCCCAGGGGATTCCCGGGGGTCCCGGGTGGGGGTCCCCGATTTGGGGAGGGGTCCCGGGGGGGTCCCTGAGTGTTATTTGGGGAGGGGTCCCCGATTTGGGGAGGGGTCCCGGGGAATCCCTGGGTGTTATTTGGGGACGGGTACCTGGGGGTCTCTGGGTGTTATTTGGGGAGGGGTCCCTGGGTGTTATTTGGAGGGGGGGGTCCCCGATTTGGGGAGGGGTCCCGGGGGTCCCTGGCTGTTATTAGAGGAGGGGTCCCCGGGTGTTATGTGGGGAGGGGTCCCCGATTTGGGGAGGGGTCCCTGGGTGTTATTTGGGGAGGGGTCCCTGGGTGTTATTTGGGGGAGGTCCCCGGGTGTTATTTGGGGAGGGGTCCCTGGGTGTTATTTGGGGAGGGGTCCCTGGGGTGCCTGGGTGTTATTTGGGGATGGGGTCCCTGGGTGTTATTTGGGGAGGGGTCCCCGGGTGTTATTTGGGGAGGGGTCCCTGGGGTGCCTGGGTGTTATTTGGGGAGGGGTTCCTGGCTGTTATTTGAGGAGGGGTCCCTGGGTGTTATGTGGGGAGGGGTCCCCGATCTGGGGAGGGTTCCCTGGGGTCCCTGGGTGTTATTTGGGGAGGGGTCCCTGGGTGTTATTTGGGGGAGGTCCCCGGGTGTTATTTGGGGAGGGGTCCCTGGGTGTTATTTTGGGGAGGGGTCCCTGGGTGTTATTTGGGGAGGGGTCCCTGGGTATTATTTTGGGGAGGGGTCCCTGGGTGTTATTTTGGGAGGGGTCCCCGGGTGTTATTTGGGGAGGGGTCCCTGGCTGTTATTTGGGGAGGGGTCCCTGGGTATTATTTTGGGGAGGGGTCCCTGGCTGTTATTTGGGGAGGGGTCCCCGGGTGTTATTTTGGGGAGGGGTCCCCGATTTGGGGAGGGGTCGCGGGGGTCCCGAGGCCGGGGCGTCCCCTCGGCTCCGCGTATTCTCCAGCAATAACAGCGCGGCCGGAGGGATCCGTGTTACGGCCGGGAATACCCGGGGCCGGGGGGGCCAAACGGGGACCCCCGAATTGGGGAGGGGTCCTCGGGAATTGGGGAGGGGTCCCGGGGGTCCCGGGGCCGGAGGGATCCGCGTTACGGCCGGGAATACCCGGGGCCGGGGGGGCCAAACGGGGACCCCCGAATTGGGGAGGGGTCCTCGGGAATTGGGGAGGGGTCCCGGGGGTCCCGGGGCCGGAGGGATCCGCGTTACGGCCGGAATACCCGGGGCCGGGGGGGCCAAACGGGGACCCCCGAATTGGGGAGGGGTCCTCGGGAATTGGGGAGGGGTCCCGGGGGTCCTGGGGGGCCAAACGGGGACCCTGGAATTGGGGAGGGGCCCTGGGGGTCCTGGGGGGTCTTGGAGGGGTTCCGGGAATTGGGGAGGGGTCCCCTGGGGGGTCCTGGGGGGTTCTGGGAATTGGGGAGGGGTCCTGGGGATGTGGGGGGACCCCGGGAATTGGGGAGGGGTCCTGGGGGTTCCTGGGGGTCCTGGGGGGTCCTGGAGGGACCCCGGGAATTGGGGAGGAGTCCCGGGGGTTCCTGGGGCCGGGGGGGCCAAACGGGGACCCCGGGAATTGGGGAGGGGTCCTGGGGGGTCCTGGGAATGGGGGGGTCCCGGGGTCTGGGGGGGATTTGGGGGTCTGGGAGGGATTTGGGGTGGGGGTCCCAGAATTGGGGGGGGTTTGAAGATTTTGGGGGTGTCCAGGATTTGGGGGAGGGGTCCCAGAATTTGGGGGGGTCCCACAATAGGGGGAGGGTCTCAGAATTGGGGTGTTCAGGATTTGGGGTGGGGGTCCCAGAATTGGGGGGGGGTTTGAAGATTTTGGGGGTGCCCAGAAATTGGAGAGGGGTCCCAGAATTGAGGGGGGGGGTCCCAGAATTTGGGGGGGTCCCGGCAGTCCCCAAATTGGGGGAGGGTCCCGGAATTGGGGGTGGGGTCTCAGTAATGGAGGCCCCGCCCCTTTCAGCACCTCGGACAGCCCCCAAAATTCACCAAAATCCCCCCAAAATCCCCCCCCAAAATCCCCCAAAATCTCACCAAGATCCC